CGTTTCTGCTGAAATTCTTCTTAATTACTACTGATATTATAGTATTCATATGTTAATATATAACTCCCTAGCGCCCCTAGTACTTTGTTCCTTGAAACATCGTAGGGCAAAAATTGCTCTTGTATGGTCTTCTGTATCGAAGTTTTCGTTGCAGAATAATATTTTTCGACCATACTACGAAGAACAATCTAGAAATATGCCGAGAAGGGAACGAAAAGGGCATAATCTCACGGCGTACTTTATAACCAAGAATAGGTGAACTGTGATTAGGGTTTATGAGCTGTAATCTGGAGCATCGTACAGCATAATTCCATGAGAATTCATGACTTATAAGGAATTTTGATTGTTGTCTAGGAGGAGGTTTATTGCAAAGTTCGTTTTCAAATTCACATGTGCATATAGTTGGAGGAGATAGCAAAAGGAGTTTTTCCGTACAACAGTCCGGATTACAAATTTTTCCAGTACGACACGCCAGACTACGCCTTCGAAAATTCATAGAATAAACACTGATTTTGTTTCATATTTCGCTCCTACACAGTAAAGAACATGACAAAACTGCTGAAAACACTACAATTACTCGAATTTTAGCTGATTAGTGACCAAGAGACAAAGGTAGGTCCTGTAGGGAAACAACGACAACAATGCAGCCATGCTAGTGAAGCTATAAAGTCCACACAACGGCGCAGTCGCCCGCCGTTTTGTCGGTCTGTTTGGCTTGTTATAAAGAGATTATGACAAATTTTTATGAGCTCTCATCAAACACTGCCGACATGTCACCTCGTTTTAACACCTCTCTCCCCGCCGTCGGGAGGACCGCTACGGGGGGCGGGGTAGGGCTTAGATAGCAGTGCTGAAAATACCCCATGTTTACTTTACCACCCGTAAAGTACAAGTAACTGCCAGTCATCTCATTATCATAGCAAAACTCCTTGTTGGAAAGCGTTTTACCCGACATCTTCCACTTCCATTCGCTATGACGTCACCGAAGCCCCGCCCATTTTCCGGAAAGGACTACATTGCACGGGTAGAAGTCCGTTTCGAGGACATACTTTGAAAACTGTCGTAGTTCTCGTCGAATTACTTGTTGTACGCACTTGTCGCGACAAACTCAACCAAATGTAGTGGCGCTGTTACTACGTAAGTGCGCATGTACATGTACAATGGAATTCTTGTAATACTCATTGGCTTTCGAGGATACAATTGCTGTACAAATGTTATCCACGCGGCGACTAGAATACAACAGTGATGAATAGGGACGAAAAGGGGAGGAAAACGGCACTTTTGGCTTATTTTTTGAGAAATTATGAAAAATTATCCCGAATGTCGATTGATAATCGATTGATAATTGTATTCGTCATGGAGTTGCTCTGGTTGCAAAGTCTGGGACAATTTGTAGTCCTCGACTTAGAATTTGCAAGTTGGTACGATAAATAATGCTGATAGCTCTTGTTCTACGGAACAGTCATAGAGAACGATCGATAATCGATCGATAATTACTTACACTGAGAGAGCGGTTCAGTTGCCCAAGTTTGTTTGTATTTTCTGAATCTTCTGATTTATATAGCCGGAAACATGAGGAAAATGATACCATTGCTCGTTTTTGAGAACTAATCCTAAGAAATAAATCGAACCAATCAATGATACTCTTGTCTGCTGATCAATAATTGATCGCTCGCTGCAATGGTGGTTCAGTTACCCAAGCTTGATGTATCTCTCAACTTCTTTATTCTAAGTTCTTCATCGATGCTGGGATGTACCTAAATGGCAACCGAGTGGATGAGTGAAGTTCAGGCAGTTACAGATGAAACCCGCCTCTCGTGGCTAAGCCACACCTATTTTGCCACAAAAGTCCATATTTGCGCTTGCTCTCGGTTCGGTTTAGTTACCCAAGCCTGCCGTAATTAAAACTTTGGTTCGAAATTCTCCCAGTACGAGGATCCAGCTCAAATATCGGTCTAGGAACGAACTAACATCTAAGTGACTGGTGGCTAAGCCACGCCTCCTTGCGGGAAAGCCACGCCCACTCCTAAAGTCTCCAAAATTCTTCGCTACGGCAAGGAAGTAGTCAGTTTATTCAACGAAGTTTAACCTATCTTCTGGCTGTTCGATCAGTAAAAAGGTGGTTATAGATCCGGGAAATTTTCCAGTGCCGAATGGGCATCGCTGACGAGAATCTTTTAGGATTCACTACACTAACAAGGAAATAGCTACCCTTGTCTGCTCCCATGATAAGGATTTGTTCCTTTTTTCGCTGACATATTGCTGCTGTCATACTGCTATTCTCCTGCTAGAACCGAAAGATCCAGTGTTTCCCCTAGCAAACCTTGTTTTTATGAAGAAACACAACATTCAGCCGGCTGCTCTTATCATTAATGTTCTTGCACCTGCAGCACATTTTCAGCGTCGCTTTCAAATGAGCCGAGTGCAAGCCATTCCGGACAACTCTCACAACCGGTGATAAGTGTCATAAGCTTGTCAAACACGTGTTGAAATGGCTATTCACTTTATTGTCGGCTGATAACAGGTGTGAAACTTCGTTGGTGGTCTTCCGAAAGAAAAAGGGAGCCGTGGCGCGAGGAGGGCTTGGACAGGAGCACAACTGGCGCTGTGGATGGTGGAATTTTCCAGAAAAGAAGGATGCTTTGCTGAAATAATAAAATAAATAGTATAAAAATTGCAATATAATCC